TGGCTGTTTCTGCCCTCGCCCGTCCCAACTGCCCTAACCTCTATCCTGCTACCCCCCCCCCCCCCCCCCTTAACACAAACCATTCACGCAAACTCCAAACTTCCCTTGCCATTCGCGCTCGCGCGTCGAACCCCATTTAATACGTCATGTAACACATATTTTCATCGAGCTCAGCTCTAACGAGACTGGTTGCTGCGGAAGCCACATAGATCAAGTAAATGGCACGTGTTTAAAGATACTTACCCCATTTTGATCCTACAACCACTGGACAAGCGGCATGCTTCGTCCTTTCATCGGGAAAGCCGTTCTTATCAAGGTTGTACCAGAATACGGCGTCACCCTGCAAAACACGAAAAGAAGATTTTAACGAGCTGAGAATGTTTCATAACAGGGCTGGCTTGAATAGTCGTAAGAATTTTGAGGAGTATTGACCCTGTCCGTAATGCAACGCTGGCGACGTATTAAGTGATGAAAGAAGGGATTTGCTGAATATTTAACTGATTTTACTGTTTTCGCTGTTGACTGTTGTATTGCTCTATATTAGCCCTGTTCTTGAAAACTGAAATTGTTAACTAACGTTGACCCTGGTTGAACTGAATTCAGTCTTGGTCTGCAACCACGTCTCATAACGTGAGAAAGCGACCGTGTTGGTGGTCAATGCACAACACATTTTTCGAGGCATTTCCACGAGGAGCCACCAATATGGCCGCCATGATGACACGTTCAAACCTCGGTTAAAAATGAAAATTGTGTAGCTAATCACTTTTTAAACATGACATCTCAAGGGCTTGCCCAATCTCTAATGAATGGCTCTACATTCTGACCATTAATTAACCTTGTGCTAATGAGCCAGAGAGAGAGGATTACCCGTAAAAACAGTTTTTCAACAACGTGCACAAATTTTGATCAAACGTTAAAAAAACTTCGATCCACCTTTGCGAACTTATTTCTTACGTCTGATGTGCGAGTGGAACCGCAAGTTAAATTCAGAGGTCAGTGAACTAACCTTTTGAGGATGAACAAATTCTTCAATATCCAAAAACACTGTGGCGCCACCAGCATCTACGTCACTCAACTGCGCGAGAGAAAAAGTAGGTGTTAATGAACAGTCGTTGCACTGGTTTCCTGGTCAATACAATGCCAACGTTGGTGTATAGGCGATATCGTCAATTACTTCGGTGTCCTGTGTAATGCCTTACTTAATCTTGTTCCTTTTGCGGGTCGGTACCAGGAATCACTAGGCTACCGCTTTTACTGGATTAGGGTCATGAGGATTCTAGAAACAGGATTGCTTATGACTAGTCTCTTTTTAGTCGAAGCGCGAACATGATCAGTGCCTTCTCGCAGACAGACCACAAAGCTGCAATTGCACTATAATGCGCCTGCGTTATATGCAGTTAAGACAAGGTCGGGCTCAAGAATTCCAATCTATCTAATTAAAAACCGAGTATTGAATACTGAGCGCGACTTGCACATGCAAATTCCTTGAAAACTTAGGAAGCCAAATTATACGCTACAAAAGCGTCTTGTGTAACATTCACCTCCATTAAAACAAACATTAAGGCCAATGAAAATCCCTACAAAAGATTCCCTGGTTACCACGTTAAATGCGCACTCGGAATTTATGTTACTTACGATAGAATTTTATTAATGATTGTTTTTGTTGCTTAAAAACTTGATGTTAAGATTCTATCGCTGTTAGGGGAACTTACATAAATCAACATCGTAGCAATCCTATCTCCAACTTCACCGTGAGGTAGACTTCGGTCTGAATTCTGAAAGGTTAGTGATACTTGTAAGTAGTCAGGAATTACTCTGGGGCCAAACTCCAAAATCCCTCCTCTCCTGGGAGAGTGATCTCGAAGCCCATAATCCTTTATCATGGAGTAAATGCAAGCACATTTTTAAGAAGAAATTTGTAAGAAGAACTACTAAAGGAAACAGCCTGTATACCAAGTAATGTCAGCTACAGGCTCTCAGTTGGTCTTGGTGAAAGAAAATCGAGTGCTGAACAAGAATGGCCAAGGACTGGGTGAGAGAAGCGCACTCTCTATCTCCTCCTTTCATTCTTCTCCAATTCTTGTCATGTGCGATTCATTTATGTGCTCAGTTTTGTTCGTCGAGACCAGCTGCAAGCAAATAGACTAAAGAAAGCGTTCCTGTGGTAGCCTGCGTCGCGGACAGTCTAAATCATCAGTCCGTTCTCCATCTAGGTCTCGAGTGACAATTCCCGCTGCAACGCGGGCTACCCTGTGGAAACTAAGCACGAAAACTGGAGCGAGAGTGAACTGGAGGGGTAAAAATGCGCAGTCAAGCAAGAGAGAAGGGGTCTGGAGCCGAAACGTGACCCACAATTGTTTCT